GCTTCAGCCCCGGAAGTGGCTCCCGGGGCTCGCGGCGGTGCCGCGGGGAGGGCGGGTGCGGGAGTGGGGGCGGGAGCTCGCGGCGGAGCGGCAGCGGGGGTCGAGGCCCGGGCTCGCGATCCGCCGCCCGCACACCGCGCACATCCACGCCACCCTCGGCCCGCTGCGCAGCCATCGGCTCGCAGGATGGACGGCGCGTCCGGGGGCCTGGGCTCCGGGGACAACACCCCGACCACCGAGGCACTTTTCGTGGCACTGGGCGCGGGCGTGACGGCACTCAGCCACCCGCTGCTCTACGTGAAGCTGCTCATCCAGGTGGGGGGCCCGGGGCCCCTGGGGAAATCGGGGGCTGATGTGAAGGGGACAGGCCGAGATCTGGAGGATTGGAGTAGGGGAATCCATGGCGACGGATTTGGGGAGAGGGGCGGGAACGGCGGGTTTGGAGGGGGCCGAAGGGGCAGGAGACGAGGAATGCGGCGAGGGATTTGGGAATTCAGGGGTACGGGTTTAGGGGTACAGAAGGGCCAAGGGGTCGGAGCGGCAGATTCGGGAGAGGGTGGGAGGAACTAGGGATTTGGGGGATTCAGGGGAGGGGCGATGGTATGGAGAGACGGGTTTGGGAGATGAAGGAATGGAGCAATGGACTTGGGACAGAGAAGCAGCAGATTTGGGCTGAGAGAAGCAGCAACAGAATTGGGAGAGGGGCGAGAAGTTTTGGTGAATGGGTGGGGAGGAGAGTTGGGGTGATCAAGGCAAAGTATTTAGAAGGTGAGGAACACATATTTGGAGTTGAGAGCAACAGGGGCGCTGGATTTATAACGATGGATTTAAAAGTGGCTTTGGGGGACAAAGGAGTGGCCGTCAGGGCCAACAATTTAGGAGGGGAAGGAAGGGCACCCGACTTGGGGAAGCGGGGAGGAGGGGACGGAGTTATTGTATTTACTGGATTTGGTGGGAGCGTGTGAAGGCAAAGCATTTAGCTGGGGAGAGCTATCGGTTTACAGGATATGGGGGCTTTGAATTTGATGGCGACGACAAATTTGGTGGGAGGAGAGGACGGAGTGACGCGTATTGGGGGAGGGGAACAGATTGGGCGACGCATTGGGGGAGGGGAGTGGCGGCAATATGTCTGGAGAGGGGAGCGAGGAGGCTTTTAGGGGAAAGGGGATGATGCATTTGGAGGAGAAAATGTAAAGTTTAGCTTGTGTCTGGGGGGTGGGCTGAGGGGATGGGAGTATTGGGATCGGGCAGAAGGGGCCGTTAGACTTAAGGTGGCAGGGATAGGTAGGGACTGGCAGAAATTGAGACCAAGGTAGGGATGTCTCTGGAATGGAGGGACGCATGGGCACTAGGCATACTTAGAGGGACCATCAATGCATGCAGGTGAAGTGGGCTGCTAGGGAGAGACTGAGCTGGAAGGGGTGGGGTGGAGGTGTGCTCCGGCAGAATCAGGTGGTCAGGTGGGCATAGCTGAGATGGTCGCAAATTTTATGGGTGTCACTCAGGCCTGGACTGATAGCTGAAGGTTGTAGGCTAGAATTGTCCAGGACAGTGGAGGGTGGGAGGTAACAATTGATGTGGAGACCCAACAGAGATTTGAGGTTTGATTTGAGGCAAGTAAGTGAGTGTCAGATTTTACCATCATTTTAATTGAACAGAGAGAATGTGAAATGGAATTGGAATGAGAGGGCAATGAGAATGGGAGTAATTGAAATCTGGGGGGTAATAGATTTTGGAGTGTGACCAGGAATATGTCAAGTAATGAGAAGAGTCAGTCAGAGGCATCGAGGTGCCTGAATAGAATCTAGCTGTGACTGAGATTTGGAAGTGGCTGATGGGGGAAGGTTGAGACCAAAACTGGCATTTGGTTTTGATTTGGGAGTGAGGGTTGCTTTCTTTACAGGATTAGGATTGGGTTTACAGCAATAGAGATTGTGGGTTTGGAAGAGAAATTGGCTCTTTGGAACTGGTGTGACTGAGACAAGAAGTGAGGGTGCTGGGGGCTGATGGGGTGAGATTGGGTGAGACTGGGATTTTAAGGTGGCAGGTGGGAGGGTCTGTGGAGCAGAGGATGCTGGAGCACAAGGAATGGGTGGGCTCAGTGTGAGGGAAACGGGGATATGGCTTCATCATTTAGATGATGGTGGATTTGGTTTACAGGTTTGAAAAGAAAATTGAAATAAGGGTGGTCTGGAAAGGGAATTGGAGAATGAGAGAGACCAAAAGGGGGGAAGAACGAGATGGTGGGTGGGTAAGGATGGGTGAGCTCAATTGGGGTGATAGAGGTAGCTTCTCCGATTTGAACCCATCTGGTGCTGAGTATAACATATTTTGGATGAGATCTTAATGGGTATAGCTTGGGAATCAGAATAATGTTTTGCAAAAAGGCAGATCACCATTTGGTGGAGGCAGGAGTAAAGTGACAGATTTGGGGGTTGTACAGATTAAGTAAATAAGAAGAATGCAGTGCTTTAGATCGGGACATGCGGATGTTAGGTTTAGGAGTTAGAGACTGAAGATGATGGACTGGCCTTGCCAGTATCTGATATAGGGCCATGGTGTTGGCTGTGATTAGGATTGGGTTAACAGATTTGGGGATGAAATTGGGTGAGCATGACTTGGAAACAAATAATTAAAACTTGGAGATGAGGGGAATGGGGGTGAGATTTAGCCAGGGTGCCTTTGATAATTTCAGTAGAAGTTAAGAAAATAGACTCGACAGATTTGGAAGCCATGGGGATCTGGGGTGAAGGGAAACAGATTTAAGGGTGGAATTGATGGGACTCCTAAGGAAAAAGGTCTGGAAGGGGGTGTGGCTAACTGCCTGGATCAGCTGATTCCTCTCTTTTCTCCCTCAGCTCCCCTGAGCTAGTTTTTTTTTGTTGTTTTTTTTTGTTTTTTTTGACAGTCCCCATCATAGAAGGATTTTTAAGTTTATAATTAGTAATCTGTCATGCGTCTCAGAATCAAATCCACAAGGGACAGCCTGAACTTTCAACAACGCTTGCCTGACTAAGGCAAGGAAGAAAGGGAATTGAGCCAGACAAGCACTAGAAGCATACCTGATCCACTTTATAAGGAAGAGCTTCCTAACCGGCTGTTTCTACCATGGCCGCAGTCTTCATGCTCTTCCACAGCCAAGAGCGGCTGCTCTGGTCCATCGGCCCAGCAGGCCTGCTTGGAGGGACAAGGCTGGTGTCCTGGCCCCCTGCCAAGGTGGAGAGGGTCCTTCTCATTCCCCACCTAGGCACTGGTCTCCTGGATGCCTTGCTCCTCCCTGTAGCATAGCAAACTGCCTCACTCCTCAGCAGAGACCCCACCTCTTCCTGTGGATATGGACGGTGTGGTCCTTCACCCACCCATTGGTTTAACAGATACTTCAGTTATAATCAGCATCTGTACAGCAAGAATTATAGTAGCCCTGCAGAAATGAGGGGGATCATTTTGTCACAGGGAAATGGGATGGTCGAGGTTAGAACACAGTTGAGGATATGTTTGAGGAGTAGCTGGGATTTGAGGTAACAGTTTGGTAAGCCTGGGAATGGGAGGCAGATTTGGAGGTATCTGCAGTAGATTTGGTGAGAAATTTGAGAGTGGGCTGAGCTTTGAAATGGGTGACTTAGAGCTGCACTGGCTGAAGTTTGGGACTGAGATTTGGGTATGACATGTTTGGGTGTTGCTGCGTTCAGAATTGATGTTGGAGTGAAGGTTTTCACCTGGACATGAGATTTAACTGAGATTTATTCTGAGATGAGAGTTGGGTTTGTGTATTTAAAAATGGGGGGTTCTAGGGCCGGCCCGTGGCTCACTCGGTAGAGTGTGGTGCTGACAACACCAAGGCCGCAGGTTCAGATCTCTATATAGGGATGGCCGGTTAGCTCACGTGGGAGAGCGTGGTGCTGACAACAACAAGTAAAGGGTTAAGATCCCCTTACCGGTCATCTTACTTAAAAAAAAAGGGGGGGGGGTTCTATACTGCAAATATCTGAGGTTTGAAGGTAAGAATGTTGGAGCTCACGTGGGAGAGCGTGGTGCTGACAACAACAAGTAAAGGGTTAAGATCCCCTTACCGGTCATCTTACTTAAAAAAAAAAAGGGGGGGGGGTTCTATACTGCAAATATCTGAGGTTTGAAGGTAAGAATGTTGGGGAATGAGTGTGACTTGGATTGTGGTCGGAGTTGTATCTGGGACTAGACATTTCTGTTCATTGGGAGATTACGTGATGCTGTTTATAGACACTGATGAGATTTCTGGTATGTTTTGATGGGAAAAACATTAATAGGAACAGCATTAGAATTTGTGGGAGAAGAGTTAGAGGCTTGGGAAAGAGGAGAAGCAGTGCGACTGTATCACCAGTAGAATCTGACCTTCCTTTTGTCATTGTTAATTCTGAAGGTGGGTCATGAGCCGATGCCCCCCACCCTTGGGACCAATGTGCTGGGGAGGAAGGTCCTCTATCTGCCGAGCTTCTTCACCTACGGTGAGTGTGTTTCCCAGGAAGGAAAGCCCACACCGACAGAAAAGAGGCCCTAAGCCGGGAGCAGGCCCGGCTGGTGCCCACCCCACCCCAGGAAACCACTTTGCAGCATGGCCCCCAGAGTCCAAGCTGGCATGGAGGAGGGGATCTAAGAGTGTGGCCAGAGGTGGCAGGGTGTCGGGGTGGGAACAGTGAACAATACAGCTTTGGTCCAGCTCTTTTGTCTGCAGCTGCCAGCTGCCACCCCAGTAGCAGGGGACAGATGGGTGCCCAAGGGAGAGTCCAGACTAGGACACTGGTCCTTGTCATCTGTGTCACCCCAGGTTGTGCCTGGAAGTGGGGGTGTGGTGATATTTCCTTTTGCTTTCTGAGCAGTCCTGTCCTGTTACCAGCTTTTCTGCTTTCCGGCTACTCCAGCAGGAGACCTGTCAAGGCCCTCCTGGGTTCTTTTCTTTCATCCCACTCGGTTGTCCCGTTTCTCCTGTATTCTCAGGCAGTGGTGCTTGCTCACTCTGGCATCTCCATCCACTGTTAGAGACGACATGCAGTGAGCCGCAGCTTCACCTCCGACCAGCTGCGTGAGTGTGAGCAGGCCGCTCACCTGCTCTGGTCCTGCTGCACCCCTTGTCTGCAAAGTTAAGGTCAGCTGCTTCGTGCACAGGCCCTTCACACGAGCCCCCTGTCCTAGCAGCTCCTGTGCCGCTTATCCCCTGGCCCACAGAAGCCAGCTGGCCAAGGCTTTTTCAAGCCCACCACTGCTGTCCCTCTCCCAGTCCCTACCCCAGATGCCCGTGATGGGGCCTTTCATAACTGTGCTCTTTCTCTGCATGTTCTCAGGAGAGTCTATTCCAGGCTGATCCCCTCAGCTTAGCTGCACCTCTGCTCTTCTTACCTGTTTGGTCAGTCCAGAATGTTCTTTGAAAATCCTTCTCCCTGCTGAATATCTTGGGGTTTGCCTATATGTCACATTTTTTACTTCACACACTAACTGTTGACAGAATCATATATTTCTCTCCCAGTTTTGCCTCCATGTTGTTTGGCGCAGAGTCTAGGTCCAGGCAGAATGTGTCATTTTGTGGAGAAATACATTTGTGTTTGTTTTTGTTTAGAAATTGTCAGCGTGGGGGAGGGGGAAATCACAGAAGTAGGAAGGCACCCTCATCATGGACAGTGAAGCCCATATGTAAAGATAATGCTGGATTTGCACGCAGCCAGGGCGGAGGGCCGCCAGCCCCTGCATTGTGGGTTCTGTGTGTCCGGCTCCACGTACTGTGTTACGAGGGACTCGTGGTTAGAACCCAGTTCATCTCTATTCATGTCACACAGCCTGCACGCAGCCAGGGCGGAGGGCCGCCAGCCCCTGCATTGTGGGTTCTGTGTGTCCGGCTCCACTGTGGGTACTGTGGGTACTGTGTTACGAGGGACTCGTGGTTAGAACCCAGTTCATCTCTATTCATGTCACACAGCCATTCCCAGGAGGACTCAGAGTAGAGGGGTCTTGACCCCCATCTTATTGCATCTTGGAAAGATGAGCAGAGTTCTGAGGTACCCCCCACACCTGGCCCTGTTTCTATAGATGTTGTAGTCAAGATGTTGTGAGCAGATGTCCACAGAGCACTTCTGGACACTATACCTGCTGTCAGTTAGGGGGAGGGGGTGGCTGTCTGGCTGTGTAGTAAGTACTATCTGGACAGTATCTACTCCTCCCCTCGTCATGGTGGAAGGCACCACAGCTGTTGTGACATTCTCTTGTGTAAAGGAAAGAACGCCCCGGAGGGTTTCCAGGTACTGCAGAAAGACCCTGGAGTGACAGAGCCCCTTGTCAGCCCAGGGGCCCTTGGGGCCTACACAGGCCTGTGTAGCCTTTTCTGCATACCTTTCTCTGCTCTCACTTGTTCATGCCTCATCTCTGAAATGGGGAGAAATAGGGGTCTTTACTCCTTTCCTTACTGGTAGGCAGATCGTTAGAAAGAGGTTCAGTGAGGCTTTGTCCTGACGAGCTCCCTTTTGCTGACTGTGATCTCCCTGCCCCCAAAACACACCTTCCTTCTCTGCCTGTTCACTCTGTGAAGTAGGGCACCTTGCCACTGGCCCAGCATCCCCCCACCCTCTACTCCTCTCCAGCCCACCCCACTCTCAGGAAACCACATAGACAGGTAATGGGCTCTCAGCCCAGTGAAGGCTCATGCTAGCCGTGACATTGAATTGCTGGGCCAGAAGACGTGTTGCAGAGGAGAAAAGGGCATATTTGCGTGTTTCTGCCTCTGTGCGGTGCTAGAGAGCTAGTCATGGGTCTGAAAGGGGAGCACACTGTCTGACAGAATGTTCTGCTAGCTTCCAGGTGTGAACATGGCTAAAAATGATATAACGGCTGGCTGGTTAGCTCAGTTGGTTAGAGTGTGGTGTTAAAACACCAAGGTCAAGGGTTCAGATTCCCATACCAATCTCCATACTGGCTAGCCACCTGAAAAAAAAAAAAAAAGAAAAAAGTATCCTTAAAAGGATAGACGCTAATGAAAAACACTGACTCACGCAGGTAGGGTCTAGCTTCCCTGATCGCTTAAGTTTTTTCTAGAGAATAGTTCATTAGTGCTTCTGTTTTAGTTACTTCTCCACAGGCTCGCTTTTTCTTTGATAAATGGCAGCAGGGGCCAGGCGGTGTCCTGGGTGCACAGTAACAGGGTGGGGACCGCCCTGGCATTGCGTGTTCAGGGACATCCTTGAGCCTTTCTTCTGGGAGACCTTCCCTTTCCTTTTTTCCTCCTTTAGGTTGCAAACTTCATCATTGCCTGGGGATATTCTCTCTTCCTTTTTTCCTTGTCGCTGAGAAAAACATATTTTGTAAGCAGCAGAATTGGTTTCTGGGTTGCAGCACTTAAGTTGCTGAGTTGAGAAACCATAGCTGAGTTTGCCAAGTAAAGTTTTCAAAGCTACAAAGAAGAAAATGTATGAACTTGTTTGTCAGAAACGTTTGAAGGTTTTACAAAACGAAACAGGCTAGAAGACATGGGGGTTGGGGCCTGCCTGCTTCTGGGTCCTGGACAGAGCTCCCTCCTGTGCCTGCAGTCAGCAGTTACTGGAGGGATGAGCTGCATCTGGTCTGGGCGTGTGTGTGACCCAGGAGTGGATGCTACTGGGTGGGGTGTGACGCTGCACCTCTGCTTTCTTATAGCCAAGTACATTGTACAAGTGGATGGGAAGATAGGGCTGTTCCGAGGTCTGAGCCCCCGACTGATGTCCAACGCCCTCTCCACTGTGACCAGGGGCAGCATGAAGAAGGTGAGCCCGGTGCAAAGCCAAGAGTTGTTGCCCAAGGTGCCCCATGCTCCTGGCCACCCCCAGAGGCAGCGCATGGGCCCTGGTCCTTCTTTCCCCTTCCTGGACTAGTGAAGGCTCACCCCAGCACTGTGGCCAGGCTCCAGATCCTGGTGGTCAAACCCTGAGTCTTGTGCTTGCAGGGGCTCCCACCCCACAGCTGTCTTGCTTTCCCACAGCTGGGACACTAGATGGCGGCTTTCTCCCCCACCCGCCCTGTCCCCTGCTAAGCTCCAGGCCTGAGGGTTACCTGAGGCAGACCCAGTTGGTGGACACTGCAGAGAAAATATTAGGAGCTGGTTCCTGCTATCTTTGCCCCTTAAGAGTTAGATTTAAGAGGCATCACTGTACTTTGTGCTTGGCCCTCCTTTGTTTTTTGTGTCAGGTTTTCCCTCCGGATGAGATTGAGCAGGTTTCCAACAAGGATGATATGAAGACTTCTCTGAAGAAAGTCGTGAAGGAGGTGGGTGTCTAGAGTTGGAGAAGGGAGGCCTATGGAGGGGAGCCTGCCTATGTCTCATCCCCATGTTGGGCAGGTCGTTGAGGAGCAACAGAGCTGGGTCCTTGTACATGCGCAGGTGGGATGGTACGTGGAAGGGGCCCCAGCTTGGACACTGCAGGGAATCCCAGAAAACCTGGGACCCAGCCTCACTCCTAGGTGGAGGGGACAGGGGGGGTGGCAACAAGTGGGACCATCCTTGGTAGCCTGACCCCACGTGAGTGCTATGGGGTCCCAGTTTTCCCTTGTAAGAATTTGTAGCTCCCTAAGAGTGCAGATTCCAGAGATGGGCGTGAGCAAGTTTCTGCTGTCTGTTCTCTTCCAGACCTCCTACGAGATGATGATGCAGTGTGTGTCCCGCATGCTGGCCCACCCCCTGCATGGTAAGCTGCCTGTGGAGATTGGGTCTAAGCCATGAGTCCAATGGGAAGGGTGGGCGGTGGGCCGACCCCTCATGGACTGTAGATAGGCAGTGGCTGAACGACTGGGAAGGGGTCACGGGGTGGGGGTATTCCGCTGGAAGCCCATTGAGGAGAGATTGGCCAGGGGTCCTTTGCAAAAAGAGCTGGGACTCTTTAGTGGGCCGACCCCTCATGGACTGTAGATAGGCAGTGGCTGAACGACTGGGAAGGGGTCACGGGGTGGGGGTATTCTGCTGGAAGCCCATTGAGGAGAGATTGGCCAGGGGTCCTTTGCAAAAAGAGCTGGGACTCTTTCCAGGCAGGAGAATGGGGACACTGTGGTCATGGGGTGTGGCAGAGAATCCCAGAGGCCTTCTCCTCTCATACGCTCTGACATAGGCCATGTACAGTGGCCACTCTGCACCAGGCACCCCACGGCTGGGGTGTTGTGGGCTTTGGCCTGCCACATCACCTGTGTGTGTTTTCTTTTTCCTCAGTCATCTCAATGCGCTGCATGGTCCAGTTTGTGGGACGGGAGGCCAAGTACAGGTGGGTAATTTTTCTTAGGACTGGCAGGAGTGCACCTGTTACCCTTCAGATGTTTCAGGACAGGCGATGCTGGGTCAGTTGCTGCACCTTTTCTGACCTACTTCTGTGTGATAGCTTGACCTGCTGCCTGGCTTCAGAGGGGTGTGGCAGTGACTTCCAGTCTATGTCCAGGGCATTCTCTCCTCTCCATTACTTATCGGGGGCTGCCTTAGATGAGTCTAGGTGCCTTGCAGAGAGCCAGTGGGATTAGAGTCTGCTTGGATTAGGAGTTCTGGCACCAGAGCTGATTCTGCCACTCAGGACTGAGCTGGGGTCCCCTCCTGGACCCCCCATGTTATGCCAGCTGTTGTAGAACCCAGCTTATGGCTCTTTTCATCCTCTACTAAGAAGCTATCCACTCTCGGGTCTTGGTGCTCATCCCTTTCATTGTATACCAGACACTACCTAGATCTGCGTGTGGCACTGATCTGAGTGCTGGGTGCATATGTGTTAATACAGTGTCTCGTGGCACTTGTGCCCTCCCTGCCCCTCTGAGGCTGAATGCAGGATGTTAGGCAGGTCCTGGGGGCATTTGGCAGGAGGACACGCCTGGGTTACCTTCCTCTCTGAGATTCTCATTTCCTGGGGTCAGTAGTTCCTACAGCTGTCCTGTGGGGCCACCGCCCCAAGAAGCTCTGCTGCCTTGCTGTCTCATTTTGGGTTCGCTAGTGGGAAGGTGGCCCATTCCCCCAGACTGTAATGTGAGGTTGGTAGATGGGACCAGGAGGGAATAATCTGGCTCAGAACCCCAGTGGGCCAAGCCATTGTTGTGAGAAGAGTCATGGGGCCTGTCAGGGCTGGGGCGCCCCAGGACAAGCACTGCCCAGGGCTTTGGCTCTCGCCATCTCCTCTCTGCTAGGTTGCCCTTTCTACCTGGGCTTCACATAGCTTCCATTCAGGACAGGCTGGTTGACATTTCTAGCCACAAGTCACGGATGTTATTGAGCCTCCATTGCATTTCACACCTAAGACACCACAGCCTGTTCTCTGATCTCTAACAGGCTGCAGTGGCCAGGCTACTAGTCCCCAGTTCCCTTCTGTGGAGGCAGTCACGGATGTTATTGAGCCTCCATTGCATTTCACACCTAAGACACCACAGCCTGTCCTCTGATCTCTAACAGGCTGCAGTGGCCAGGCTACTAGTCCCCAGTTCCCTTCTGTGGAGGCCCAGATGCCTTTTCCGTGGCTGATTTCAGAGCCTCCTGCTGCAGGGCCCTGTGTTCCTTCTCTGCCCTCTGGGAAGGTGATTTTCTCTGCTCCCCACCCCCTCCTGCTCTCAGTCTGTTGACACAGGCTCTTCTTCTGCCTGAAGGCTGTTTAGCCAGAGGAAAACACTAGGGCCGGGCAGGGGAAGGGCCCACCACTTCTACAGCAGTGGCTGGAACTGGGAGGTTCATTCCTAAGTTCCAGATCCCACAGAAAATGGTAGTAGAGGACTGCTAGGTCTTCTCCTCCTGTGGGTTGTTGGGTATCTTAGTCCATTTTGTATTGCTATAACAATACCTGAGACTGGATAATTTATAAAGAACAGAGATTTATTTGGCTCATGATTCTGGAGCCAGGGAAGTCCAAGTATGGTGGCAGCATCTGCTCGGCTTCTGGAGGACTTCTCATGCTGCATCATAACATAGTGGGAGGACAAAGGGGAAGCAGACATATGTGAAAGGGCCAAACACGAAGGGGGTCCTCACTTTATAATAACCCGCTCTCCGGGCACTAATCCATTCCCATGGGAACTAACCTAGTCTCAGGGGAGCTACCATGAGAACAGCACCAAACCACCCATGAGGGCAAAGCCCCCATGACCCAAACGCTTCCTATTAGACCCTTCCTCCCAGCATTGCCGCACTGGAGATCAAGTTCCAGCATGAATTGTGGCAGACACACACCACAGCATTGGGTTTCCCCATTCTCTATGAACTGTGTAAACTCCCCCCCACCCCAAACAAGAGCTTTTTTTCTTCTTCCCTTGGGACCCCTCTTCTCCCCATCCAAGCTCGGACTGGCTGGATCTGAGCATGGCTGGTGGTCCCTGCTCCATAACGGGTTGGGCTTCTGCTAGGTGACTGGGTGTTTTGCCTTCTTCACAGCGGCGTGCTGAGCTCCATTGGGAAGATTTTCAAAGAGGAGGGGCTGCTGGGATTCTTCGTGTACGTGAGTTTATACATCCCATAACTGGCCATGGGGCATGGCTCTACTAACAGGAGTGTTCTCAACTTCAGGCCATAGCTGCTGGCCACAGACTAACCACAGGGCTCTGCCCCAGCCTCAGTAGCTGCAGCCCAGCTCTGTAGAGCTGCATAGCTCCGAGCTACGAATCATCAGGACCAAAGCTGCTCGGCCCTTTTCAGGTCACGCCTCACATAAAAATGGTACTGTTTGTCCAGGACACCGGGGAGATGAACTGACCAACCCCCACCGGGCCCCATCAATGCACACAGGGCTGGGGGTGGGCATGGGGCTGGTCTTCATGAGGTGAGGCACTGTATAGTCATCGGCTTCACTGCCAAAAAATGACTGCACCTCTGTCACTTGGACTGAAGTCTGAGTGATGGCAGCTCACGGACTGATGCCAGCCGATGGATTCTGTTTGACACAACATTTCTGACAAATTAGTTGTTAAACATTTGAGATATTTCACACAAAAATTCATATTTCTGGCATCTCTTAAGAAGTCAGAAAATCTGGCCCCTATGGGCCTGTGTTTCTGCAGAGCAGCTGTCGGGCTGGGGCCCCGGGGGCTGCTCCTTTGGTGGAGTACACAGTCTCCTGATGGCCATGGAGTCCCGCATTCTCTGTTGTTTCTCATCCAGCTGACTTCATCTGTGAAGAAAGCCCATGCTGAAAAGACTGTGTTCAGAAAGCATAAAGCACAGACAGAACCCAGAAGCCAGGCTTGACAAGTGTGTTTTCTGTTTTGTCTTTTAAGGTCTAGGCAATGACATACATGCTGTTATGTATATAGCATGCTAGATATTGGGCTCCGTATTAACAAGTCTATATTGTGGTTTTCCAGTTTGCCAAGTGTTTTTATTTATAATCCTTTGTTTAACCAAGAAACTACTATGTGTAGGGCGTGTGTGTATGTATATATATGTGTGTGTGTGCGCGTGCGTGTGTGTGTGCGTGTGTGTGTGCGTGTGTGTGTGTGTGTGTGTGTGTTTGTTTGTGTGTGTGGTTCTCAACAGGAGATGGTTTTACTCCTCAGGGAACACTGGCAATGTCTGGAGACATCTGTGGTTGTCAACTGGCACCTAGTGGGTAGAGGCCAGGGTTGCTGCTAAATAGCTGGCAACAGAGAAGACAGCCCCACAGCAAAGAATTATCCAGCCCAAAACGTCAATAGTGCCAAGGCTGAGAAACCCTGACTTAGGTACACACATATACATATTCACACACACACACACACACACATGTATGTGTAAGTGCTCATGTGAATAAATATCTGTGCTTGTACCTGGTATACATCTAGCACATCACCCCCTCTAGCATTTTTCACACTGTGCAATTTGTGCTGGTGTGTGAATAGGATTCTCACACAGCAGATGCTTGCCCTTCGGGTTCTTTTTCCCCACATGATTTTGGGACAAGTGATACACACACATTACAATATTCAGAAAGCACCAAAGGGTATGTGTGCATAGTCAGTCTGAACACAGACAGGCAACAGGATTAGAAATTACATTCACAAAGGTTAATTTTATTAATATCCCCCATAACATAGGAGAGTCACATATATTCTTTTGAACTTTTCAAATATTTTATAGTACCATTTTTAAAAATTCAAAAATAATAATTCTGCTTCCCCATCCAATAGACTGCCATTCTTCTCCTGGAGAGCCTCCCAAGGCACTCCACTCCTAAACAAGAAGATAAACATTTTTAAAAAACACAAGTAGCACACAGGACCCACTGATCTCAGACTGGCTTTTTGCCCTCAGCTCTATCTTAGGGAACTTTCCATACAGCATATACAGCTGTTTATCCTAAAGGCCGTCACCTTAAAGTCACACCTCCTTGCAAATGCTAGCATGGAATGTCTTTGATGGAACATTCCAGGGGTGAAGAGGAGAGTGTTTTGTAAGAGTTGGTTAGGTAAAGAGGTCAGGAGAAAATGACCAACATTTAGGTACTCTTTCATAATCTGTATTTGAAAATCCTAGATTTGGCAACATTTATGTCTTGATCCCTGGCTTCTGTGGTTTGAAGACAGCTTGTGAGACCCTTGACTAATTTGTGGCATGTAACACCTCCCCGTGGGAAAAGGAATACTACCTTCTCCATGTGGATAGTGCTGGCCTATGTGGCCCATCCAGGCTCCCTTCCTGAGGCTGTGCTGAAGTTATGAGCTTGGAACATCCCTGCCTGCTTCCTGGGTGTGGAGTCCCCAGGAACTGTTTGCTCCCTCCTCTACTCATCTTTGCTCACTTGTTTTTTAGCGGCTTAATCCCTCACCTCCTGGGCGATGTGGTTTTCTTATGGGGCTGTAACCTGCTGGCCCACTTCATCAATGCCTACCTGGTGGATGACAGCGTGAGTGACACCCCAGGGGGGCTGGGAAACGACCAGAATCCAGGTTCCCAGGTTGGTTGGAACAAGGACTTGTCCTTTTTTCCGTGTACTGCTGATGCCCAGGGGCTGGGGCAGACTTGAGGACTCTGGGATTCCAAGTATCAGGCTCTGAGGGCAAGAGGAGGGTCTCTGGTTGTCCCTGGAGTCAGCTTTGCCTTGGGGGACAGTGGCCGCAAGAGCTGAGATTCCAGAATGGTACCCAGACCTGGGAGGAATGTATGGAATTCTTGTCCCTGGACAGCTTTTAGAAACAGATCCTAGCTTATCTGGGGCTGCTGTGAGGCAGTGACCCAACTAGTGCTCAGGAAACAGGAGATAAACCAGCTGATAATGATCATCCTTTAACCTCTGCTTCATGTTTGAAGCTTTTCAGAACTCTTTTGTAAACATTATGACCTCTGATCCCAATGGCACCCTAGTTGTGAAGGTAACAGTGTAGGCAGGTATAATGCCCCATTTACAGATACGGAAATTGAGACCCAGAGATTAAATGGGCTCTCCAGAGTCACTGGGCTGGAGCCAACAGAGCTGGGACTAGGTCTTCCCTGTACCAGGCTGAGTGTGCCTCCCTTCTTGAGTTTTTTTAGACGAGCTAGGAAGTGTCCAATCCAGACTCACCCCTGTTTTAGCAGTGGTCTACACAGTCTGGTATACACAGACCTCTCAGCAGGACGGGTCAAGCACAAGAGGGCTTGGTCCTTCTACAAGGCACTTGAAGAAAAGTGTCTGAGCACCCAGTGCACTGATTGGTTCTGCCTGAACGAAGGTAAAAGTTAGGAAGCAGCAATGGTTGGGGATTTCTGATAGCAAGACATCCTCACAGCAGTGACTGCCAAGTCCAGGAGTGAAGAGGAGGTCCTTGGGGATCTGTTTGCTAGAATTACTTGGGTGGGGTGGGGGGCCATAGTCTACATGTCTGTGCGTCTGGGCCCCAGACTGGCAACTCTGGGGGTGGGGTGTGTCTGGTCACATGTCTATGGTGAGGAATGCCCTGCCTCAAATGGGAGCCTTGGCTCACAGGGAGACTAACTGGCTGTTTGACTTGGGTAGGTGAGTCTTAACTGGCCTTTCAAGCAAGTTAAAATGACTCTATGGAGCCCCGCCCCCAAATGCAGTTACAAGGGCATGTGCTCGCGGCTCTGCCCTTTCTCTGGAGCTTCATGGGTGGGTGGATAAGCTGTTGCACATACACAGCAAGGCTGGGGCAGCTGGGGTGTCTTGGTTAGGGGGGTCACAGCTGACTGGTTTCTTTGGTCTAGGTGGGCAGCTGTTTGGCCAGGGGCTGCTGCACTTAATGTCAGCGGCAACAGCAATCAACAGTTTCATTGAACGTACTTTTAAGTGCTTTTCTGTGTGTGTCTTAAAGGCTAAGATGAGGCTACCAGGCCTGCCAAGGCAGCTCCAGCAGAGGGGTGAGCAGATCTCTGCCCAGAGCTCCAGGGCATCCACCCGGTGGGATGGCTATGCTACAGCAAGCTGAGGGATGGGAAGCCCCACCTTTCCTAGTTAGGGCCTGTTTCCTGGGCAAAGTAGAATTTCAGGAGTTGGGGTCTGAAGGGGGCAAAGCTTGGTGTGGTGGGGGTGGCAATAAACCGAGAGTTTCCCTTTGCCTTATGCCACAGGGCCAGGATTCTGTGTTGGGGTGTCAGGGCAGGTGTCTGAATGTCCATTAAGAAGGCACTCATCGAGCACCAACTATGTGCCGAGCCCCAGATGTCAATCAGGCAGGTGCAGGCTCAGCCCTGGGTGCTCACAGTCTGGTGGGGCTACAACAGGCCAGCAGTAAATGACACCCCTTTCTGGTCTCTGTCCCTTCTGTTCCTTCACGGGACTTCCTTCAGTCCAGTTACCCCACTTCTGCCTCCCAGGTTTTCTCTTGGCTCTGACTATGAGGCCACAGAAGCAGCTGGCAGGCTGTGAAAGGGAAGACAGTGTGTGCGGCGTGCGTGTGAGGAGCTGAGCACAGGGGTGTGGAGGGCAAGGTGAAGGGGGCCACAGGTCTGAAGTCCACATCCTGAAGGGACTGCTCTTCCTTTCTGTCTCCTCAGTTCAGCCAGGCCCTGGCCATCCGGAGCTACACCAAGTTTGTGATGGGGGTAAGTCGAGCCAGCTGCCCTTTCCACTGCCCTGTGGACCTGGGTATGACTTAGGAGGCCAGCCCTGGTGGTAACTGGAGGTCTAGGCTGGGGGGTTGGGGGCAGGCTGGGTCACTGGCACTCAGGTCTGTCTGGGTTTCAGATTGCAGTGAGCATGCTGACCTACCCCTTCCTGTTGGTCGGTGATCTCATGGCTGTCAACAACTGCGGGTAGGTGTGCACCCTCCACCTGGCACTCTACCAAGGTGCAGGGGGACCCAGCTGAGCCCTGCCCGCTCTCTACCCACCTCCTGCCTTGTTTGTGTGTAGGTTCAGCCCACCAGGCATCCTGGCCTTCTCTTGGAGTCACCAAGCCCCTTTGGGGTGAGCCTATGGTTTCAGGATGTGGGCTGGTGGCATCTCCAATCCATTCCTTCCTGAGGGCTCCTTTACTTTGGCTGACCTGTCTCTCACTGTTCCCTGGGGCTAACACCCACTCTCCTTCTGGGCAGGCTGCAGGCTGGGCTCCCCCCTTACTCCCCAGTGTTCAAATCCTGGATTCACTGCTGGAAGTACCTGAGTGTGCAGGTAAGCGAGCACGCAGGGAGGAGGCTTTCCCATTCTTTGCCACATCCATCAGGTGACGGTTTTGTGGACTCTTCATTGCATGCAAAGAGTTTCGTGGAATCTGCCATTGTGAGGACGGTGGATAAAGAGAATATAGACACTTGGTTTAAGGTGAAAACCTTACGTTGTTCAGAAAAGGTCTGAGATGGTTGTCTGGATTTATTTAAAAATTATATATCAGCAGAAGTCTCCTTTCCTTTGAGTCTCAGGGACTCTTAGGACAAGGATAAGGGAGCTCTAACTTTATCCTTCAAATAACGTGGGCCAGAAATGGGAGGCCTAAGATTAGATCAGCTGAATTCCTGGATTTCTGGGGCGCCCAGTCCCAGCAGAGCCTGAGGTTGGAGCTGGGCCACGTGGGAAGCCTGGTGGGGATGCCAGCCTTGGGTTCTCCTGTTCTGTGCCGAAGCCGCCTCCTGATGGCTGGAGCTCTTGGGCCCAGCAGTCAAGGATCTAGGCTCCTGGCCCAGGGCAGATCCTTGCCTTTTCTTGGCCTCAGCTTGCCTTGCAGTAAAATGGGGCAGTGACCTGGGGAGGAGGTCACTGCCTGGCCTCAAGGTAGAGAAGAGGATGGATGAAAGGGGATTGGGGAGGAAGAGACAGCCTCAGTTCTTCCCAGCAGCCCCATCTGTCTAGAGCATCACATCCTCCCCATGGGTGTTAGAAGAGTCCCAGACCACTTGGGCTAGAGGAGCAATAAGTCTCCTCTTTGGGAGTTCCCTAATGAGTGTCCCTTAGGCATTGGACACCCCCAGGGCATGAAGTGAACCCCATTCTTCTGCCTCAGCACAGGCAGGTTCTGACCTTACCCTCCAGGAATGTGAGCGTAGGCCCTACACCCCAACCCTGGGCCTCTGAGCTCCTGGACCCTTCTCTGCCTTGCACTGGGCTTCCTCTGGGGGTGAAGAAGCATGGCCTCCCCTGTCACTGGCCCTGCGCTTCCTTTCAATCCAGGGCCAGCTCTTCCGTGGCTCCAGCCTGCTTTTCCGCCGGGTGTCATCAGGATCGTGTTTTGCCCTGGAGTAACCTGAATCACCTATAAAAACGCTGTCTCAGCCTGGCCACCGTGGGTGAGGCCTGATCATCTCTGGACAACTGCAAGATGACTCCAACCCAGCAACACCTAGATGTGCTCCAGCCCAGCTGGGCTTCAGTTTCCATATTTGCCATGTGTCTGTCTGTCCAGATGTGGGGTCAGACAGGGGTGGAGCTCCACCCAGTGGATTGGGTCACCTGTTAGACCTGGGAAAAATAGGGTGGGGTTGGGGAATTGGGGAAGAATCCCCTTATTTCCCATATTTGCTGAGTCTGCCTTGTGCAGGGTGCCAGAGAACAGCTTGTGGAAGCCCAGGTTTGATGGGGAAAGGCCTGTGGGGTCAGATCTCACCCCCTCACACCTGTCCCTTCAGCCCACCTCTCATCCTGCAGCTCAGCTGGGAGCATCACTCTCCTGCTTTGTAAGTAGGGCACTCCTTTCACCAGGCCACCATCATGTCTAGGCCTGTGCTAGGAGGCTAATGCTGGGTTCTGCCTTCATTTTTCTCAACACTACTTTTCTGATAGGAAGGCAGCACCTTCTTCTGAATGGGAAATCACGTGACTACTTAGAATACGTCCCCCTCATCTAATGATCATCTGTTTAATGGTGACACTTCAAGTGCAGGATCTGGTTACCTGTGCAGTTGTGAATACCCAGAAGTTAGGCAGATCAGTGTCTCTAGTCCTACCCAGTTCATGGTAAGATTTGACCCTGTCTCCCTCAAATAAATGTATTGGTGGTGGTTTGGAGTTTTGTGAGAAGTGTCTTATTTTTGTAAGTTAAAAAACTATCAGCAGAGACCCTCTCAGCCCTTCATGTTGGTGTGAGAAGGGGCTGCTCTGCCTGCAGGTGATCAGTGCCAAGGCTCATGGAGACCCGTCTCGGGGGAGACAGTGGATGAAGTGGAGATGCCAGTTCACAGAGCAATGACCAATGCATAGACCTCCTGCCAGGGGACAGTCCTTTCACAAAGCTTCCATCCAAACCCTAACTGTCATCTCAGCACCATTTGAAGATGACATATCTTCAGGCTTTACTCAGAGTCGTCTGGTCAGTGGTTACAGCAGAAGGGGCAGATCTCCCAGTGTTTCTGCCCAACACTAGGGACAAAACTTACAGAAGTTTTGAGGTCTAGCTAGATTCCCAGAAGTGTTCTCTGCCCATTACAGCAGAAGGGGCAGATCTCCCAGTGTTTCTGCCCAACACTAGGGACAAAACTTACAGAAGTTTTGAGGTCTAGCTAGATTCCCAGAAGTGTTCTCTGCCCATGCTGTAGGGGACCTGGCCTGTGAGAGTTGGGGTCTGGTGACTTCGGTCATACTTCCTTCATAGTTACAAGCTAGGTCACCCCCCAGGGAAGGCCCCTAGGGTGCTTTTGCACAACTGGTTTTTCCCAATAGCCTAGCAGCAATTGACTCAAAGGTCCTTTTACTTTGCGTGTCCTGTTTCCCAAGAACGCGGAAGACTGACTGTGTGGGTGTTGAGCATAAATGAACATTGGTTGAGGCCACCAACGGTTTGTAGTCCACGTTCCCTTCCCTCAGGAAACACCTCAGACAGCTAAAGTGGTGGGAAGGGGAGCACATGGTGGGTGGGCAGGCCAGGCCTTGGCAGCACCACTGCTGTACAGAAGGCAGGCCTTGGGTTCCTAGGCCCCTCGGTGGGGAGTCCGCCTCATGGCCCATTACCTCTCTCCAGCCCAGCGTGGTTTCCTACAGCAGTGACCACTGTTCTTGGGTAACTTTTCTTCCTGTTGCTCCATCCTCAGATCCTACTTTTGCACTGATTACTTCCTATGGTTCCCCAGATTTGGGGCACTTGCCTCTCTGGAGCCTGAGCTAAGCTGGCCCTGAACAGCCCCTCTGACCGGCATGTACTCCCAGCTGTTTGGAGAGGCCACCTGGGGTAAAGAGCAAGGCCGTTGGCGGGCTTGGCCATCATTTGGGGAGGGTTGGTGCTGTCCTCAAGTAATATCCCGGGATTTCTGAGTTTGGGGAATCTCAACTTCATTTCCCAGGCTATCTTCCATACCGGAAGTGTCAAGAAAGTCCCTTTTGATCCTCTTTTCCGATTTTTAGTTGTGCAAAGTGCAGGTTTTCATCTAATAAAAAAGCAAGTTTTTAGTTCAGTTAAATATTCCCTGTTTCCTGGAGCCTTAATATTTCAGGGTTGAGGCTCTGCCCATCTGCCCTTCTAGCACTTGGCATGTTCACTGTCAGTCCTGGAAACTAGAATGATGCGTCCTTATCTGAGGAAGGAGATTGGGTGGGATTGGGACAGGAGGGGAGCTGAGCTGCCAGCAAAAGGAGCTTACAGGAGTAAGCACGTCTTGGTGGGAAGCCAATCACCTTCTTCCCCTCCTGGGAAACCTTATTCTGATGGGCAAAGCTGGGCCTCTGACATGCCTTTTGGACCCCCTTGTGATGAAGTTTGAGGTGGCAGCGGTGGCCTGTGCTAGGTCCCTCCTGCGGCCCTTGTCGCTGTGCCCGTCCACAGTTGCCTGAGAGCTATGCAGCACAGTGCTGGAGGAGACCCCTTCCTACTCTGGTCCTCAAAGCCTCTAGAAGAGCCAGCCCCCTGCCCTCTGTTTGAACATGCCTCACGGTTTTGTGCTGATATGTCCCCTCCCTGCCCATCTCATCATCAGCTGCTTGTTTGTCACAGCCCGGCCTGACCGTATGGATACCATGTCCTGTGTTCTTGTTGTTTTCCAAAAAATAAACTTCCACACAGGTCCCTACTCCTGGTCTTGGACAGGATTTCTCAAGTGACAGGTTTTCTGAGGGCTGACCCAGTGCTCTTGCTTTGCAGGAGCAGGCAGAGCCCACCCCAAAACTAGGAAAGATGGGTTTGGATCTCCACAGCCCCCTCTCTGCCCAGAGGCTACCACCTCACATAGCTTAGGAAAACAGGCCCAAGAGAGGAGGGACCACCCCAGGAAGGTTCAACATCTGAAGATCAATTAACGTAATACACCCTCATCCTTAGATTAAAGAACAAAACTACGTGATTATCTCAAGAGACACAGAAAAAGTATTTAACAAAATTCAGCACCCCTTCATGATAAAAACATTCAACAAACTAGGAAAGGAGAATTTCCTCAACCTGACAAATGGCGTCTATGAAAAACCCACAATTAAGGTTTACTGAATGGTGAAAGTGTTTTCCCCCTAAGATGAGGAACCAGACAAGAAGTACTCTCTCGCTATTTCTGCTCAACATTGTACTGGAGGGTCTAGCTAACAAAATTAGGTGAGAAAACGAAATAAAAGTTTTCCAGGTTATAAAGGAAGAGGTAAAATATTTCTTTGCAGATGACATGATCTCGAATTTAGGAAATCCTAAAGAATCCACTAAAAAAAAAAACCCTCATAAATGAGTTCAGCGAGGTTGCAGAATAGATCAATATACAAAAATCAATTCTATTTCTATACATTGAACAAATAAAATTAATAAAACAATTTCACTCACAATAGCATCAAAAATAAAATATTTAGGAACAAATTTAACAACAGAATTACAAAACTTATACTCTAAAAACTGTAAAACATTCAAATAAACAAGACTAAATGGAAAGACATCCCATGTTTACGGATCAGAAGACTTAACATTGTTAAGATGGCATATTACATAATTCCTATCAAAATCTCAGGTGACTTCTTGCAGAAATTTGACAAGCTGATCCTAAAATTCATATGGAAATTCAAGGGACCCAGAGTAGCCAAAATAATCTTGAAAAGGAAGAACAAAGCTGGAAGACTCACATCCTGACTTTAAAACTTACTGCACAGCTACAGTAATGAAGACAGTGTGGTACTGGCATAAGGACAGACATATGGATCATTGGAATAGAATTGAGAGTCCAGAAATAAACACTCACATTTATGGTCAAATGATTTTTGACAAGGGTAGTGAGACAATTTGATGGGGAAAGAATAATCTTTTCAACAAAAGGTCTTGGAACAGTTGGATACTCCTATGTGAAAGAATGCAGTTGGACTCCTACTTCACATCATGTACAAAAATTAACTAAAAATGGATGAAAGATTTAAATATAAAAATTAAAACCGTGAAACTTGGAAACATAGGTATAAATCTTTGTGACCTTGGATTAGGCAATGGTTTCTTGGATATGACATCAAAAGCACAAGAAGAAAAAATAGATTAATTGGATATCAAAATTTAAAAATTTAGTGTTCAAAAGAAAAATAAATAAATAAAGCTTCAGTGTTCAAAGGATGTCATTAAGAAAAACTTAAAAAACCCACAGAATAGGTGAAAATATTTGCAAATCAAATATCTGACAAGAAACTATCTAGAATATGGAAAGAACTACAACTCAATTATAAAAAGACAAATACAAAAGACTTGAAGTCATTTCTCAAAGAAGATACACAAATAGCCAATAAACACGTGGAAGATGTGTGATGTCATTAGTCATCAGGGAAATGCAAATCAAAAGCCAAAATGAGATACTAGTTCACATCCACTAGGATGGCTCTGACCAGACAGACAGATAACAAGCATTGGCGAGGCTGTGAAGAATCTGAAACCCTCTTACATTGTTGTTGCAAATATAAAACGGTGCAGCCACTCTGGAAAATAGTCTGGTTGTTCCTCAAAAAGTTAAAAATAAAGTTACCATATGATCTAGCAGTCCACCCCAGGTATACACCCAAGAGAACTGAAAACTTATGTTTGCACAAAAACTAGTACATGAATGCTTACACTAGCTCAAAATGGAAACAACCTGATGAATGGATAAAGAAAACGTATTTCATAGGATGGAATGTTATTTGGCAATAAAAAGAATGAACTTCTGATCCATGCTACAACATAGATGAACCTTGAAAATATGCTAAGTGAAAGAAGCAATAATAAAAGGTCACATGTTATTTGTCAAGAATTTATATGGAACGTTAAGAATAGACAAATGCATGTAGATAGTGGTTGCTTAGAGCTGGGGGGTTGAAGGGAAATGGGTATGGAATTTCTTTGGGGAGTGATAAAAATGTTCTAAAATTAATTGTGGTGATGGTTACACAACACTGTGAATATACTAAAACCCGGAGTTTATATATTTGAAATGGGTGAATTTTACGTATGTGAGTTATATCTTAATAGAACTGAAAAAAAAAAAAAAAACATATAAAGAAAGAAAGAGGGAACCTCCGTGGTTCTATGTCAGCACCCAGCCCGGGCCTGACTTGGCCAGTGTCCTGTAACTGCTCACCCTCCTGCTCTGGCCTGGAGACAGTTGCCATGCCAGTACACTCGTGCTTTTCCTGGCCCATGGCATTTTTGGACAATACTGCTCTGCTTTGCTCCCCTGGGGGAGTGTCTGGCTTCCAGAACCCTTTCTCAGGTCTCCTCCAAGCACCAGGGGAGTTGGCAAAGTCCTGCCTGAAGTATATTTCCGACCTTGTGTCCCAGATGGACCTGGGCAGCAGTACCCCTGTGCCCAGGGGTCGTATGCCACACCTTGATGCTGGGCCCTGAACTCACCTAGTCCCCACTGGTGACTCTTGGAGCTGGGAGAATCAGCTCAGTCCCCTTGGCCTTTCCTTGGCTCTTTCCCCTTCCTGTCAGCTACCTGTGATCTGCGTGGGGTAGAAGTTATAGGAAGAAAAGAAGCGTTCCCTGAAGAGGAGATACTAAATGGGACATTTGGGGGAGAGGGGTGTGAAAGAGAAGGAACTGTTGCCACAGGCTGGCGAGGAGACAGGGGCTTCTGCAGGGCCTCCCTGAT